CTCTGGGAAACATGGAAAGTTGTTTTACGGGGAAAATTATATCATATTCAGTACATAAAAAGAAAAAGGACAGAGAAAAAGAAGCACAACTGGAAGAAAGAATAAAAGAACTAGAAATTTTACACGCAAATAATCAATCAGAAAGCATCTATAAAGAAATTAGAGAAAACAAATTTTTGCTCAATGAAATAATAAACAAAAGAAACCAATTTCTGATTCACAGGCTCCGTCAAGAAACTTTTCACCATAGCAATAAATCCGGAAAATATTTAGCCAGTCAAATTAAAAGAAATAAAGAAAAAACAGCTATAACCTCCATCAGAAACTCGGCAGGGAAGCTAACCAATTCACCAGTTGAGATAAACAGGACATTTCAAGATTACTATACTAAATTATACTCATCCGATCTTGATCCGAACCAAGAAGACATAACCCAATTCCTCGATAACATCATTCTACCAAAACTCAACATGGAACAAATAAACACACTAGAATTACCAATCACAGAAAAAGAACTTCACTCCGCACTGAAAAGCATGCAAAATAATAAAGCACCAGGTCCAGATGGCTTCCCTGCTGAGTTTTACGAACATTTTTGGTCAACCTTATACCCACTATTTAGCAGAACAATAACAGAAATAAAACACAATGCAAAGTTCCCTCCCCACATGAATACAGCACTTATATCACTCATTCCTAAACCTAACAAAGACCATACCTTCACATCTAACTATCGCCCTATCTCACTCATAAATGTCGACATAAAAATTATTAGCAAAGCATTAGCCCATAGAATTGAACAAATTATACCATATATAATCCATCCTGATCAGACTGGCTTCATAAAAGGTAGACATGCATCTAATAACACCCGCAGATTATACAATTTAATGCATTACTCATCAACACAACAGAAAGATACTCTCATTGCCACATTAGACGCCGAAAAAGCTTTTGACAGGGTCAACTGGAAATTTTTATTCACCACGTTACAAAAATTCGGCTTTGGAGAGTCATTTATTAACTGGATCAAGATTTTATACACATCACCATCGGCCACAGTCACAACGAATGGACTAACATCACAAAGCTTCGCACTGCATAGGGGGACAAGGCAGGGATGTCCACTCTCTCCATCCCTATTTACCATTTTTATTGAACCTTTAGCAGCAGCTATCCGTCAAAACCCAGCAATCAAAGGTATTGAAACACCACAACAAATACATAAAATCTCACTCTATGCAGATGATATCCTACTATATATACAAGAACCCCTAACATCTACTCAAGAAATAATTAAAACAATCCAGTCCTTCTCAAAAATATCCGATTATGCAATAAACTGGAATAAATCCTCCATCCTCCCTTTACATAAAACCAAATGGGATGTGGCACCCCATCAATCACCAATACCTATTTGTCAGGATCACATCACTTACTTAGGCATTAAGATTTCCTCCAGACTGTCAGAGTTGGTAACACTCAACTTCACACCACTACTAAAAAAAATAGAAGACGATTTGCTCAGGTGGCTCAACCTCCCAATCTCCATAATCGGCAGGATAGCAGCAATAAAAATGACGATTCTACCAAAAATTAACTACCTATTCTCAATGATTCCAACCCACCCCACACTCACCTGGTTTAAATCACTAGACTCCATTATAACTCACTTCTACTGGAAAAATAAAACGCCAAGGATAAAACTCACTACACTACAAAAGAGTAAGGTTCAAGGAGGACTAGAAGCACCAAATTTCCAATATTACTCGATGGCTAACCAACTGCAATACATATACAAATGGATTCACCCCACCCAATCTGATATTATATGGCTAGATATAGAACAATCACTATGCAAAGAATTAAATATAGCTGACATACCGTTCCTCACCAAATCAATTAAACAACACACATGTTTTAATGCAGTAACTATAGCCTCCACTCTGACAGCCTGGTGGAAATTTCACCAAATCACAAACTCTACATTAGCTCCATCTAACCTCACTCCACTATGGAACAACCGTGATTTTATAAGCAATAAAAAAACATTGAATTTTCACACATGGGCGGAAAGGGGTATCACCCACATTAAGCATATTTTCAAAGCCAACACATTTAAACCATTTCCACAACTGGCTCAGGAGTATGGCATCGGGAACAACGAATTTTTAAAATACCTACAAATCAAATCTTCTGTCCTGGCAAAAATAAACATCAGAGATACAAATTTAGAACTTCCACCGGCAATATCAGACATGGTCAACATTTCCTCTCCAAAAAAACTGCTCTCTAAAATATACAAAATTATCTCAAATCAACTTCAGACTATATACTTACCAACAATAAAATGGGAAAATGATCTTTCAATAGCCACTGATGCCAACTTCTGGACCCAAATCTGTAAAAATGTCTATCTCATGTCCAAAAATGCGAATCTTCAGTTAATACAATACAAAATACTCCACAGAACACATTACACAGGCAATAGATTAGCTAAAATGGGTTTCACATCAGAAGTTTGCACACATTGCAATCAAAATTCTACAGACACATACATCCATGCAACCTGGCACTGCACTCCAATCAAACACTTTTGGGAAGAGGTCACACAATCACTATCCACTATAGTTGGCTGCCACATCCCATTGTCGCCTTCCCTTTGCTTGCTGGGGGACCTTACAATAATCACTGATAAAACTATAAACTCTAAAATACTCCTCATAGCGCTAACCATCGCCAAGAAAACTATCCTCATGAACTGGAAAACCAGAAATAAATTACACATTAACATTTGGAAAAATCTTATTACAGACTTCATTGCAATGGAACTCGCATCTCCCCTTCATAATTACACATCGGAAACTGACCTCTACCGTCCAACACTTTCTGACCTCTTACAGCTATGAATCCCTTCTCTGTTCTTAACTCAGACTATAACCAACCCACGAATATTTGTGCATTTTAGTTGTTCGAACTTGTTTTTGTCATCATTGTTATTGCTATCTTTACTGTCACTGTTATGATTACTATTTTCACTTTTATTTAATTTTTTGTTGTTTCATTGTAATTGCTGTTGTTGCTGTCTTTTGCTCTCACCGTTGTGATCACCACTGCCATCATCATTGTCATTCATTATTATTATTATTATTATTATTATTACTATTATTATTATTATTATCATCATCAATATTGCCATTGTCAATGCTGTAGAATTAGAATGTAGAACTAGAATTAAGCGTCATTGTAATCACTAATGCAATAACTTCCCCCTTATCTCTTCATGGGTTTTTAATGCACCACAACATAGAAAAGGGAAAAAAAAAAAAAAAAAAAAAAAAAAAAAAAAAAAAGAATAAGTATATTTGGATAAACATCGCAAACACCAAGGCAGGCAAGACAGGCGAGAAGTAGTTTCAACGGGACAGCATCTCTGGCCCAATTTGAGACATTCTCGCACTGTACTCCCTCTTTTAATGCACTTTAGACATTGCACATAACACACACACACAAAAAAAAAAAGAAAAATATAGAAAAGATAGGGACTGATGAGATGTGGGGGAAGGTTGTCTTATATTATATTATATTATATTATATTATTATATTATATTATTATATTATCATATTTTGTACAGGATTGACAATGGCAATCGTTACATAGGAGGAAGGATGGAAATAAAAATCTACAAAAACAATATGGGCAGTATGGTGGTAGTGGGGAGTGATGGTAATGACAATGGTAATAAATAATAAATGGTTACTTTGTGTACACACGCATACACATACCCACGCTCATACACGCTCACTTACACACCTAGATCAAACACTTAATCACTCTTGCCACTGCTGGAATTATGGATTTACAAGATTGCTCACTACTGCACTATGTTGGTTTGTTTGTATGTATGTCTGACTGTTAAATAAAAAAAAAAAAATAAAAAAATAAAAAAAAAAAAATAAATTGTCTGGCATCATCTTAACCAAAAAAAAAAAAAAAAAAAAAAAAAAAAAAAAAAAAAAAAAAAAAAAAAAAAAAAGCAAAAACGTTCACACGACTCGTGCACTATTCTTGTGAACGTACATTTGCTATGTGTAAAGAATAAACCAAATTTAAATAATTATTTAGCTAATATAGATATTACAATTTTTAGGTAATTAAAATAATAAAAAAATGCTTTAGTTCATTTAATGCAAAGAATTCACAAACAGGATTGTTTAATACAAATGACTTTCAGCCATAATCAAATCTGCTTTAAAATCAAAAACCTCTGTGTTTTTGTTTTTCAATTTGAAATTGCACTTCAGAAGCACATCTTCACTGTTAAACTTCTATAAAACATCATAGTTTCTTCTTCTTTTTGCCAAACGTTATTGTGTTATTTTCTCTCATCATTCATCTCTTACACTTCTTGTTTGTGGGGTTGGTGGAAAGGACCCCCCTATAGCTTCCTGTTGCCAAACAAGCTCTCTGACCGTCTCCACAGTTGGATGAAGAACATATGTCCATATAAGGGTTCAGGGTCAGTTTTTGGACAGCGTTAGCTCTAAATCACCCTTGAGACTAAAAGTAGAGATATTGTGAGAAATGCAGAGAAACAGATCTAAACAGAGATCAATAAATAACATTGATCAAATGGAGTTTTTTTTTTCTTTAAGTCAGTAAGTCCCTGCACTGGATAAGCTGAATGGGGGGTGGGGAGAGAGAAGTGTGTGTGTGTGTGCGTGTGTGTGTTGGAGGAGTCAAGACAAACTCTCTTTTCATCAGGCAGGGATCGCTCACCCTGTTTATTTTTTTGTCTGCCTGGATGAATGCTAACAGAAAATGATGTCATTCAAGATGCAAATATTACAACACATTTAAGTCTTTGGTTACAAAGATGCCTTATTTGTCATATGTTTTTACACACAGACCTTTTTATATGTCTAATACATATTTTTAAGTGAATGCAGTGTGTTTGTGACCAAACTATGCCTTTCCCCCCCCCTCCATCAATCCACAGAACGATGTTTAGAAGACCATGAACTGGTTGTCCAAGTTCAGACGTCAATGACCAGTGAAAGTAAATTTCTCTTCAGGAAGAACTATGCCAAATATGAATTCTTTAAAAATCCTTTGGTAAGTTAATCCAAGACCTCATATAAACTATTTGATAATGAGGTTAAGATGATTGTAGATTATTTTTATTTCCTACTTACAGCAGGTGTCAGCAGGTACATAAGTAACATGACACGGATTATCGCTGAAGGAAAGTTCCTGACATTAATGGACTGTTTTCAGTCTTACTTGTTAGATGCAGATATCAAGTGACATGCTTCCAGTTCAGTGAGCTGCTCTCACACTCTCTCACACACAATCCGAAAGAAACCCATGCCTCTTACTATTTGGGCTGGAAATCAAACACTTTCACGAACATTCAATCCTCTTGTAAATTCAGCTGCAGACTGAAGACAGATTTTTTTCGACCCTTGACACTTTTAAATTGCCATAACACAAGTAAGCTCTCAACTATATAATCATTGGTAACATTGTCTTTGGGTGTATTTACTCATAATCTGTGTTTGTGGCTTGACCGATCAAACTGCATTCCATTTATACCCAGAAAAATAAATGTAAACCAAATGATATCAGATAAACTATCGGATATATTGTTGACTTCCGTTAAGATTCCTGGCTAGGCTGCGATATGTTTTGTTCGCCCCAAACTTTCTGTCACGTGGTAATTAGTTTCACAGTTTCACCATCCATTTGTCTTATCCATGATTGTTTGCTCACTTGTGGATAGTGGGACTATGCCTATAGCATCTGTATACTGACACATTTCCATTTGAGAAGAATTTAAGTGTGTGGCCTAAAAAGCCGAATGTTGCTCTGTAGAATACTGGATTTAATATTCAGTTAAACTAATACAACCAATTTTAGGACACAGTTTTACAGTATATCTCGCCACAGACTCTTTCTTCTCGCATAATAAAATGATTTCTACTCACGTCAATATTTCATGTCCATTTATTTGTTTGAAAAGTTACAGTAACAAGACAGACAATGTAAAACAGCTAAATGTTACTGTAAAAACAACAACAAAACCCTTCAAGACACAACATCCTGTTGGCAGTTATTTTAGAATACGTTAATAACAGACTGATTGTATATTATCCCTTACATTTGAACAAGGACACTTTTCTTTTTAGAGCTGCTTTACTGCTGAAATGAACTCATGTTTCATGAAAACTGTTGAGCATTATATTATCTTTCCACTAACTTAATTTACGTTAGCTAATCATTTAATATGGCTCTACAGTCACTAATTTTAGTTTGGTTTTTTTCTAAGCTGCAAAGCTTTGACCCGAATTTCTTGAAATCCCCTGGTTTAAATAATTAGAAGAAAGTCAATGGGTGGCTGGCTTATGTTTTAAAAGATTATATAATACTCTATTGTGTTGTGGGTTATTGGAATGAGAAGCTTTTAGAATAATTTCAAATAATTGCTCTTTTCCTTCATCCACCTTAACCACCTGTAGAAGTACAATTTTACACAAGCAGATGAATGTCTTTAATCATAGAGATTTTCTTGTTATATTGCATTATTATAAGGATTTTTAGTTTTATTAAATATGCAGTTGTAGTCATGGTTTCAGAGCTATACAGGGATTACTTTACATGCTACTAATATTAATCTTATTTAATATGGAATTCATATGGCTTAAATATCTATTTAATTTAGACTAAATGGATGTTCTATTTAATTTCATTAGAAATGATAAGGATTTAGTTTGGAATGACTGTTCTGAAAATATGCGAAGGCATATTAAAACCAATAGACTATCTTGATATGCATTCAGTGAGCTAAAACATGTTTTTTCAACAGAACTTCTTCCCAGAGCAAATGGTTGCCTGGTGTCAGGAGGCCAATGGGACCATCCCCCCTTCTCAGCTTCTGCAGGTACAACATGGGCATGTGTTCTCTTTCCCATCACCCCCTGATCTAACATCAGCCCATACCTTTTTGGGAAACACTTTATTTTGATGCTTCACTTTAGACCTTCTTCTAACTATAAGTAACTTTCCAACTGCATGTCAACTAACTCTCATTAGAGTATTAGTAGTCTGTCTGCTCTGCTCACACTTTATGTTAATGTTCCCCCCCAACAGACAATCTACTGACTATGTAACTTTGCAGCTACATGTCAACTTATTCTACTAACCCAAAACACCTAACCCTGACCTAACAGTCTACTAAAAATCTACTACAGTTTACTAATACTCCTCCTAACAGTCTACTAAAAATGTACTACAGTTTACTGATAATCTAATGATAGTTAGTGGTTATGTAGGCCTAGTTGCAAAGTTACTCATAGTTGGAGTCTTTAAAGTGGACCATCGAAGTGTAACCCCTCTCTTTAGCTCATAGAGTTTATAAAAGAGTAAATATACATGTATTTTGTCAAATTTAACTGTTTTTCTGGGGATGAATTTGTCCTCAAAGTATGCCTAAATGATTCCCCACAAGGTCAGGGTTAGTTCATCCAAAAATGAAAATTAATTACTCACCCCCATGCTGTACCAACCCCATAAGACCCTTGTTCGTCTTCGGAAAACAAATGAAGATATTTTTGATTAAATTTGAGAGGTGAATCACTGCTACATTATTCTCCTAAGGGATCGAAACTTGACGGCCCAGAAAGTCAATGAAGAAAATGTTTAAATATTCCATGTGACTACAGTTGTTCAAGTATAAGTTTATCAAGCAACGAGAATACTTTTTGTGCGAAAAAAACAAACAAAGATAACGACTTTATTCGACTACTCCATTTCTTCCTTGTAGGCCTGAGACGAGAGTTCAAGAGATTTCTACGACGCATGCGTGAGAATTGCGATCTTTTTCAACTCTACTTCGGTTCAAATCTCTTGAACTCTCGTCTCAGGCCCAGAAGGAAGAAAAGGAACAGTCGAATAAAGTCATTATTTTTGTTTTAGTTCAGCACAAAAAAAAGGCCGTCAAGTTTCGATCCCTTAGGGAGCCTATGTAGCAGTGATCCACCTCTCAAATTTAATCAAAAATATCTTCATTTGTGTTCCGAAGATGAACGAAGGTCTTACGGGGTTGGTACAGCATGGGGGTGAGTAATTAATTACTTAATTTTCACTTTTTGGGTGAACTAACCCTTTCAGATATTTCAAAAAAAATTGGCACAAAAAAAAAAAAAAAAAAAATTTAGCTGACTGACTTCATATCATTTTCAAGTATTCTCTTCTTTTATCTCCAGAACTTCTTAAACTCCAGCAGTTGTCCTGAGATCCAGGGATATCTGTATGTGAAAGAGATGGGCAGGAAATCATGGAAGAAACTGTATGTGTTTTTAAGACGGTCAGGATTGTACTTCTCAACGAAAGGAACATCAAAGGTGAAATTGGCAAAACTTTGCTTAGTTTCTCTCTAGGAAAAAAACAAAACTAAACAAACTACTTATGACCACCTTTTTCGTATAAAAGTGGTCTGTTTTACTAGTCTACATCATGTTGTGCAAGCCTCTGTTAATGCTAGCTAGATCCGACCCCTCCCCGTTTCTGAGTGCTCTTTTGGTGCCCTTTCCCTCCTTATCCACTAAATGACATGAGCTGTTGGCTGATCTTTCACAGGAGCCAAGGCATTTACAGCTACTAGCAGACCTGGATGACAGCAATGTCTTTACAGTAATAACAGGGAGAAAGCTTCACAATGCACCAACTGACTTTGAATTCTGCATAAAAGTAAGTTTATGTGCTTTGTTATGAGAACTCTTAAAGTAGATAAGCATTTCAAAATAAAATATGAAATTTTCAAATCAAATTCAGTGTAAAGAAAAAAGCTTTGATCATTTCATTCGAAGGCAGAAAAGCATACTTGAATATCTCACAAAGTTATTTATTTATTTTTTTAGCAGATTGGCTAATGTTGTACATTTTGATCATTTCCAGCCTAACAAAGTACGGAATGAAGTGAAAGAACTGAGGATGTTGTGTGCAGAGGATGAGCAGAGCAGAACTTGTTGGATGACGGCCTACAGACTCTTTAAGGTTAGTAGTGGAACCCCTTTTCACTGGCCGATCTAGAACCTGCACCCTTTCTGTGGCTGATGTAGAACTCACACCCCCTTTCCTTGACTGATCTAGATCCTGCACAATTTTTCTGACTGGTCAGGAACATCTCTAACCTCCTTGCACCCTTTCCATGGTTCTTTTGTGACTGAGCTGGAACCTACACTTTTCCTTGACTGATCTAGAACCTTTACCATTTTCCTTGACTGGTCTAGAACCTGAAATCTAGGACTCTCACTCTTTTCCAGGTTATGCACTGCCATTCCTTTCCTGATCTTGAATCGGTTATTTCCCTGATTTAGAAAATACTTAGGTTCCCTGACTAATCTAGAACCGCTTTCTTTCTCTGACTTTTCTAAAATCTATAACCTTTCATTGGCTTGTCTAGAACCTGCACGCTTTCCATTGTTGATCTCGAACCAGAGCTTTTTCCCTTATCTAGATCCCATACCCATTTTTTAGGCTGATCTACAACCTGCACTCTTTCCTTAAAGCCTGTTCACACCAACAACGATAGCTATAAAGATATCATTCTGATTGGCTGTCAATGTTTTTTTTTTCATTCATCAGCTGGAGAAAAATCATTCTGAAAGTTATTCCAAATATATCCTTTCTCTGTGCCATTATCATTAATTAATTCTTCAATATTGAGAATCATTTTTTTTTTAACTATATCTATATCATTATGTTTATAGTAATCGTCCTTGGTGTGAACAGGTCTTTAGATATTCTAAAACCTGCATTCTTTTCCTGGCTGATCTAGGACCACCCTTTCCACGCTGATCTAGAATCTGCACTGTTTCTCTGACTAATCTAGAACCTTCCTTTGACTGATCTAGTGCATGGATAACTTAAATGCAGATGTACAGACATGTTCTGTGCATAATACGTAGATATTGTGTATTATTACGTTATGTGCTGAAAGGAAAATTTCAAGTACAGTCATGACAATGTGTACCATACACTTATACTAATGCTGCTCTCATTTGAGGAGAAAATCTTTGAATATAAATTTTTGAATCCGTACAGCATCATTACACAGTGTGTAATGATTCACAGACTATTTATGAATGCCGTTGACTTACCGTTACATTACTGTATTTTTAAATATATGACCTACCACAACCCCGTCACTGGGGTTAATACCATTTACGAGTCTTCCCCTACCATCCTAGGAGAAAAAAAATATCGCTCCCAGATGTAGATCTACATTTTGCTTCGTTTCGCTCGGACATTTAATGGCGTGTACATACACGCGAAATCACTTGGACATTTAACCGCGTAAACATACACGCATACACGCGGATACACGCAGATAGCTCAAAATGCCTATAGATAACACGCCAATTGACTTGAAAGTGGCGTGTATGTTTACGCAAAAGTCATGATGTCATGTTGCGATTCATTTTAAATCTCATTTTTTCTCTACTTTAGCATTATGTTTTATTTTGGTGTTTTGTTAGAGTATCATTATTTTTTCAACTTTTTAACACTTTTTTTATATATTTTTTTCTTCCTTATAGTATGGAATTTTACTCTATCAAAATTACAAGATCCCCCAGCAGCGAAAAACGTTGCTTTCACACTTCTCAGCGCCTGTGGTAAGACTCCTGTTCACTTTAACCGACTCCTGCATTCCCTCTGTCTTCCTCTTTACCTCACAGATGGAGCATTAATCACACATGTGTCAGTATGTGGGCCAAATGATTTTTCAAGTGTTGGCAGTGAAGTTATGTTTACAGCTTGTCCTATGGATATTATGTAATTCTGATAATTTTAGAACAAATGAACACAAAGATGCAAAACGATTCTAATTTAAAACCTTTTTTTTTTCTGTTAGCAAACAAAACATGTTTATGTTACTATTACATGACTTACTGGTTTAGGAAATGAAGACAAGGCCATGAACAAAGTATTTATCAAAAGGTTACACATCTGTTATATGGCAAACAAAGTCATTGTTTCTTCTGATCTTTTTTTTTTTTTCTCCAGAGGAGTGTCTCAGAGAACTCTCTGGTTGCCATGGATTTCTCAGGGAGGATAGGCAGAGTGATTGACAATCCCGTGGAGGCTCAGAGTGCTGCCATGGAGGAGGGACATGCCTGGAGAGTTAGTTCAAACAATCATTTTTGTTGTGATTATTTAGTTATTTATTAGCTACACCTTGCTAGTACCCCATTTTGCCTTCAGAACTGCCTTAATTCATTTCGGCATAGATTCAACAAAGTGCTGGAAACATTCCTCAGAGATTTTTGTCAATGTTGACATGATAGCATCCCACAGTTGCTGAAGATTTGTCAGACGCACATCTATGATGCGAATCTCGTTCCACCACATCCCAAAGGTGCTCTTTTGGATTGAGATATGGTGACTGTGGAGGCCATTTGAGTGATGAACTCATTATAATGTTCAAAAAACCAGTTTGAGATGGTTTGAGTGTTGCATTATCCTGCTGGAGGTATCCATCAGAAAATGGGTACACTGTGGACATAATGGGATGGATATGGTCAGTAACAATACTCAAGTAGGCTGTGGCATTTAAACAATGCTCAGTTGGTTCTAAGTGGCCCAAAGTGTGCCAAGAAGCTATTCCCCACACAATTACACCACCATCATCAGCCTGAACCGTTGATACAAGGCAGGATGGATCTATGCTTTTATGTTGTTTACCCCAAATTCTGACACTACCATCTTTGAGACTCTTCTTTTGTCCAATTTTTGTGAGCCCGTGTGAATTGTATCCTCAGTTTCCTATTTTTAGCTGACAGGAGTGGCACTCGGTGTGGTCTTCAGCTGCTGTAGCTCATCTGCTTCAAAGTTAGATGTGTTGTGTTGGTTATTTGAGTTACTGTTGCCTTTCTATCAGCTCATACAAGTCTGGACATTCTACTCTGACCTCTGGCATTATCAAGGCATTTTCGCCCACAGAATTAACACTCACTGGATATTTTCTCTTTTTTGGAAAATCCCAGTAGATCCGCAGTTTCTGAAATACTCAGACCGGCCATTCTGGCACCAACAAATAAGCCATTTTCAAAGTCACTTAAATCACCTTTCTTCCCCATTCCATCTTCATCAGATCATCTTGACCATGTCTACATGCCTAAATGCATTGAGTTGCTGCCATGTGACTGGCTGATTACATATTTGCATTAACAAGCAGTTGCATAAGTGCACCTAATACAGTGGTCTGCTTATGATCAGCACAAAAACTGTGTGGCGGGAGCTTCATTTCCATGAACGAGAATCTGCATGCAAGCATCATATCACCAAGTGCAATGCTATTCATCAGGGGCCACTGGACTCTAGAGCTGTGGAAACGTGTTCTGTGGAGTGACGAATCACGCTTCTCTGTTTGACAGCCTAATGGACGAGTCTGGGTTTCCCGAATTGGCTTTGTGCCAATTGTAAAATTGGGTGGAGAAGAGATAAAGGTATGGGGCTGGTTGGGGAAGGGAAGTGAAATATTATTGCTTCTGCATATCAAGACATTTTGAACAATTCTTTGCTCTCAACTTTGTGGGAATAATTTGGGGAAGGTCCTTTTCTATTCCATCATGACCCCAGTGCACAAAGCAAGGTCCATAAAGACATGGTTGGATGAGTTGCAAGCAAGTCCTTCTTATCCAACATCAGTGCCTGACCTCACAAATGCTCTACTGGTGAATAGGCAGAACTAGCAATGTCATTACAGTCTTTGTTGGTATAATGGTCAGGTGTCTCAATACTTTTGTCCAGGATGTTGTACGTTTATTGATTGTGTGGTTTTGTCTTTTTTTCAGAAGAGAAAAGAAAAAAAGAGTCCGCGTATGAATGTCCTAGGAAGCCCCAGCCCGTTACACCCCTCATCATTAAGTGGAGGTACTTTCTAGAGCATTTTGACATCATTGCTGAATAAAATAATTCATTTCTTTAAAATAAATAAATAAATAAAAACTTTTCAGTGTAAATTGAATAACTAAACCTAAAACAAAAAGTTAAAATCGTTACTATCATACATCGTCTTAATAAGAAAAGTTCATTAATGAAATCCTTGTAATGTAAAGAGGTGAAATACAGTACATGCTTTCAACCCGGTCTCATCCCAAGACGTCATATAACTGACGTTTTGGGACGTCTTTTGACCATACGTCAATATTCGCCTTTTTAGGGCCCCCTTAAACGTCGGTAGATGAGGTTATGGGATCCTAACTCTACCCCATACCTAAACCTAACCCTAAACCTAACCCGTCACCTAACTGACGTTAAAGGTAAAGCGTCAGTTGTATGACGGCCCGGGATCGCCATCTACCGACGTTTAAGGGGGCCCTAAAAAGGCGGATATTGACGTATGGTCAAAATACGTCCCAAAACGTCAGTTATATGACTTTTTAGGATGAGACTGTGTTAATGCTTTCAAAGTAGCATTGCAGAAGTTCTGAAATTTCTTACCATTACTGACACCAGTGGCCGTTAGAGAAACTACAGCCAGTCTCAAGCTCGTTCTCGGTGCCCACGCTCGCACACTTGCACACTCGTTGTCCGCACTAGATAAGGCTCTTTTTTTTACTTACGAGGAGTTTCCGTGGGTATCTGGATTTTGCTGGAGGCTGGTCCACAGAGTCCATTTGAAACACTACTTCTAGCGATTGCCGCTGCTCACTAATGGCTGCCGTACGGATGTAAGCCCAAGTAGACGAGGATGCGCATGATGTCACAATTTGTGAATTTTCATGCCAATTCGGACCCAACACCTCCACACACAATTGAGTCTACAGGCTGATAGAGGCAACCGTGGTGGACAGTCATGGTGTCATTCTTTCTATTACATTATGGTTGGCTCATAAATGTACAAATGAAGACTCTATCTTAAATATTTTTTTTAAGTAAAAACCTACACATAGCCCCTTTAAATGAAGATAGCACCAAATCTGCACAGCATTCTATTGAGAATTGCTCACCATCATTCTTGTCGTCCCCTCTGATCCAGTTATCCACAGAACTCAGCTGTGGTTTCATGGTCGTATTTCACGGGAGGAGTCCCACAAGATGATCCATCAGCAGGGCAGAGTGGATGGGTACATATCGTAGCTCATTAATTATTCCCAAAAACATGCTGGATGTTTCTCTGTTCTAATTATACAACAGATACTTACACTTAATTGTTTTTTTTTTGTTTGTTTTTTTTTCAGAATGTTTCTCTTGAGGGACAGCCAGAGCAATCCCAAGGCGTTTGTACTTACACTGTGTCACCACCAGAAAATTAAACATTTCCAGATTTTACCGGTGAGATTTGAAAGTTTTCTGCACTCAGAACATGTAGCGTATTAACTTTCTATGCTGCACATGTGACACTTCTATAGATATTTTCTAGTATTCCTTGAAACAAAATTAAAAATGCATTAGATTTACTGAAAACTCTCTTTAACTTTCTGAGAATTAATGTGACAGGCCCGCTGCTCATAACATGCATTTTTGCTTTCCTGTTCCTGTTACAATCCTCAGTACTCTAGGAGGGTGATAGAATTAAACTTCAAAAGGTTGTGCCTTTTAAACTGTGTTATTAATCAGGTATCTGGCTGTAAACATGTCAGCTTGACTTCAATTATAACACGCATTAACTTTGCAAACTGTAGCGCCGCCAGTTGAGAAAACTGTCTGCAGAATCCAACAGTCTAGAAAATGTTGCACATATAAAACGTTTTTTTTTTTATAACTTACTGACTAATCGTCCCTTTTCCAGTGTGAAGAAGACGGTCAAATGTTTTTGAGCCTCGACGATGGCGCCACCAAATTCAAGGACCTGATCCAGTTGGTGGAGTTCTACACGCTGAACAGAGGAGTTCTGCCGTGCAAACTTAAACACCCTTGCACCACTGTGGCCTTATGACCTCCATATGCCTGATTCCGCCTAAAGACACTAAAACATTAAGACGGTGTGTGCTATGGTGTAATGCTGTGCTGCTGGGTTGGAGAAAAGCACACTGCGAGAGCCCCTCTCTATCAAGAAGAGAGAAAATCAAAACAACAAACAGGACCAGCAATAAATATAGGAATTTAAGCTTGCGTGTTAGCGCTGATGAACCTCTTAGCCACCTGCACACTCGACCGTGGCCAGAGCAGGTTCTCAGGACAATCAACAATCATCCGGAGGGAGTTTTTAGGATCCGCGGTCTGAGATAGTGGTTTGGGAAGACCAGCAGAACACTCTTAGAACCCATATTCCATTTAATTTTGCACTCATGAAACAGGAACAACCAAGCTATAGCAATTGTTGCTTTCATAAATTAAGCAGGTTTGATTCTACAATGTCCTGTGAGTAGACAGCCGATTGGTGGTTTCAGTACTGTGAAAAGACTTTTCCGTTAAAATTGTGTTTTCTATCCTTTTCATCTGTAATCATTAGAATATTTAGATATCCCGTTTTTTTTTTTGTTGTTTTTTTATGTGCTCATCGTCTTGAGCACAGAACTCTCATGCATTAATGCATTTGGCCTTTTTTTCCCCATGTTATAGTTCTTCCCCATCACAAAACATAACCTGCAGCACTCTCTACTGGCCATACCAAGAAGTAAAGTGTCACTCCTTAAAGGAATAGTTAACCTCATAAAATTAAATAAGGTTATTTACTCACCCTACTGTTTTACCAAAACCATATGACTGTCTTTTTCCGTAAAATGGACAAATTTGTATTTGCCATATTAATTCTACCGCGACTGTCAGTTTACAAAAACGACAAAAAACATCATGAAGGTATTAAATACGACTCATCTACTACATATCAAGTCTTTTGAAGCCATGCGACATTGTCATATTCAAGACCAGCCATTTACGTTCAGGCCAAGACTTATATGAGTATATTGAGTCAAGATCAAGACCTGAAGAGGGTCGAGACTAAGTCAAGGTCGAGTCCAAATGCTCCTAAGACCAAGACCATGAAGATATTCATCTGGTTATGATTCTGACATCCTCTGGCCAAACTTGAGTCTAGCCTATATTCGCTTCCTGAGTAAAACAAAAAAAAGTTGGTGATAATGATTCTTCTGCTTCAAAACAAAAAACAAATCAACGAAAATGAGTTTGTGAAGGACATAAAGGTTGCTTTCAACTATTCCTTCAACATGAGTAAACATGGCCTGACATCACCACCACGTCCTTTAGGAACGGTGCCTTGATTTCGAAGAGGAGTCTGTTCAATGAAAAATAACCACTAAACCCTCAGCTGGGAACTTTGCTGTGGGTCGCAGTCTATCAGGAGCTAGATCAACAAACTGGAATCTTTATAACTGCTGTCATCGTCGGTCCCAACTCCAGTCCGGTTTGTTGTTATTTTTCTCTCCATGTTCGAAAGATTGTTTCGAGGACAGCACACTGTGAAGCCTGGGCTAAGAACACCCACAGAACGGCGGCGTTCAAATTTCTAATTTGCCTTTTCCATGGAATAACGGATGTGTAAAGAATTTTTTTTTTTTGTACTTGTGACGCAATGTAAAGAAAGAGCCTTGAATTTAGTATGTACCTATATTGTATTAAACTAGATTGAGAGGGCATAGCCACCATGTCTCCAAGTTCACACAGAGACCATTATATAGATAAACGCAAACGACGCAATCATTTTTAAGTATTGCTTCAAAAAAATGTATTTATTCATCTGGATTTGATTACTTGAAATTTAGTTTCATAGTTTGTTTGTTTTTTTCTCAGCGCTGTTCGATGCTATTCTTCCACATTTTTGTGAATTTTCAGACCTCAGTTAACAGGACCCCCTTTCTTGAAACTTTTAACACTAATTCTTCATCAGTATCCAACACCATCTTAAAGTAGACATGAAGTACATGAAGTCTGTTCAGTGGGTTGTACAGTTGTGTATCTTGCTTTCGATTGTTGATCTTGAAAACACATCTTTCTGAAAAAAGTTTCCAGTGAACAAAAATGCAAAAACACGTTATATAGGACATTAAGATATGTGTAACCCATTAAACAGAATATTGTACATATGAAGAGTTCAGATGCAAAAGCCTCTAAATGCCATTTGAAATTGTCTTCTTTAATGATGATTTTTATCAAACTTGTATATTTAAGTTCAGTGATTTCACTTAAATGGCAATGATAATTACCTATTAATTGTTATTTAAATGAAATTACTGAACTTAAATATACAAGTTTGATAAAAATCATCATTAAAGAAGAAAATTTCAAATGGCATTTAGAGGCTTTTGCATCTGAACTCTTCATATATCCCTGACAGCTTTACGTTAATTGAACTATGCCGTCTACACGGTTAAGGTGTATTCCTAGCAAATGTCCACATTGTCGTGAGTAGTTTTGATTGTCACAAAGTAACATTAACCTGTTGCTGTGGTTTTTTTTAATCCAGTTCATTAATATATTCTAGGATACATATATTTTGTGTCGGTTCAGGTAAGTAAGGGATAATGTACAATCAGAAAAAGGCCGATTCCGAAACAAAGGGGTTTCATCGGCTGACTGTACATTATGACTTACTATGACGACTATTACACGGCTACTTACAAATAAAAAGTAAATTAAATGAATGGACGTGAAATATGGATCTATAAAAGCTATTTGATTTTGTGACATCCTTGTCACAGAGATTGGCCAAGAAGTATTTTAGAGAACCGTGTATTAAGGTAGTACTTAGACCTCATTGGTTGATTTAACCACATAAATCGTCTGCAGGGCTTCAGTCAGCGCTAATATTATTCACTTGAATTTCTTTCTCAGTGTCAGTTAAGTTTGAGGTTGCCTTGTTTGAGGTTGAGTGTGTGTCAGTGTTGATTTAGCTACAGTTTGGGTGGGTCTTGTCTTCACCAAAAGAACCAAGCACATAAATGCATACTCACACAAGCTTTGGCATTATTGTCTTTATTTTTCAGGGTTTGATAAGTGAAGCTATACAATCAGTCAGCCAAGGACTAAACTTAACTTTCATTTACGTAGACCTGTGTCGGCCCAGATCCGGCCCGCATCTGGTACGCGTGGATTTCACATGCATACCAGATGTGGGCCGGATCTGGGCTGACACTATGTAGCTGTCTGGCTATTTCTAGTGTAAAAGCATGACAGGAATTTTTCCGCCTGGTTCAGACAGATGGATGTATTGAGTTGGGAGGGTATATGTTTTTTTCTGAAATCATTTAACTAGTGAAAACATGATTTTTGGATTTTGCCAGAGAGGATGTTTCCTATATGTTGGTGTGAGTAGAATTGATCTGTTGGTAGTCTGAGTAGCATTAGCGCTTAGCCTGTCTATTAATTGGCTGTTGTCTAAAGTGAGTGTAAGCAGAATGTCTGCTCACAATCCAAATACTCGGGGCTTCATTTCTGTGTTAACACAGTAATACACTCTTCAATTACGTTGTCCATATATAAAATAATTTCATTTGCAGCATTGTTTAATTTTTAAATACATCATGCAACTTAATAGGACACTATAGATACACTCCTTTCGTGTTGTTCAAATTTGTAGATACCACACTGAATTTTTGGATGCAGATTTTTTTTTTTTAAATGGCATATACAATGAAGAAACTTGACTTATTTTAGTATTTTTTTAATTAGTTGGTTAAGTGTGTAAATATTGAATCTATTCTATTTTATGTTGCTTTGTCAAGCTAATTGACCTCAAAAAATATGTTATGTTTGCATCGAGGTGATGGAAAACTGGACTTTGTCATTGAAGGTCATTATTAAGCTAAATTGCTGTTTTAAGAAACTCACTTATTCTCACAAATACTCTTATTATGAAAACGCTAACAAATGTATGCCTTGTAGATATTTTAGAAATGTTTCTTTAATATGAATCAAAGACAGAATTTCTTTGCATTTTCCCCAGTGTTGTTGAAAGGAGCTGGTAGCAGCATTTGCGAAGTGTGTGATATGTTGAGACTTTATCAGTGAAAGAAACAAATGTCATTTTTATATTTAAAAGAAATGAATGTAACTGGGTTGCTCAGGGTTGAAGTGGAGGCTGTTTAAAATGGTCTTTGACTAAAAATGGAAGCAAGACTTCTCTGTATTTTTCTTTTTATTAAACTAACGGTGTACTTCTTTTTATTGAGTCTTTGATCACACCAGACCTCTCTGAGTTTTAGAGTTTTTGATGAAACTCTAGCCTTCAAGATATTCTAGTTTCGCCTAGTTTGACTCTCTTGTATCATATAGCTTCCATAGTTTAATTTTTGGGTGAACTAAAGGGATCGTTTACTCACCCTCAAATCAATCAAGCTGTTTTTCCCCCATACAGTGAATGGTATGGAACAGAGAAGCTTGGACATTCTGCTAGATAACTCCTTTTGTGTTCCATGCAAGAATTTGGAATGACACAAAGGTGAATAAATAATGACAGACTTTTAATATTTGAGCAAAGTATTGTTTTAAAGCATATGCATATCAGGTGCCTCAAAACCCCATCCTCTCTCTCTCTCTCTCTTTTCACTAATGTCGACCTGAGAGGGTGTTCTTACTCAGGTTATAGGATTTGTGTCATATTAGTTCTGATAAAAGAAGAGGTCCTGCTTTTTATTACCGTGTTCATGTTATTGCGTAATACACACGCAGTCATTTCTAATGAACAGCATGTAGGCTACTTAACGTGTAATTTTGTATATCTGATTTTAATTATTCCTCTTGCATTGAATCATAGAACGTAACAACATAAAACGTATGTAACGTGTGCACTGTAATGCAGAGCAGAACTTTTGTGACTTTTTCCACTGCATAATTTATCAGAATGATTCCCAGCGATCAGTAATAATTCCTGAGCTATGCGTGTCTTCTCACACACGCATATATATATATATATATATATATATATATATATATATATATACGATGGTCGTTAATGTAAGTAAAATAGAAATAAATATGAATCTGTATTTCAGGGAATGAAAAAAACTAACACAAAATTGGGTTGAAAAAAAGATTTCTTCTTTTCACATTCTGTTCTGATAATGTGTTCTGTTTGGTTTTGTAAATAGCTGAATGGCTTACACATTCTAACTGTAACCTTTTCAGGTATTTTTGTACAAATAAGGGACTGATATATTCTGTTTAGAATAAAATATTAATTAATTGCTATATCTCAAGGTGTGTTGATATTATATTAGCATGCAAACATCGCACACTTCCATTTAGCACTGGTATGACCTGATTAGCATATCCATGTGTAATGTGTGTTGTAGGAGTTTGTAAGATGCTTACTGTTTAGGGAACATGCATGTGGACGAGTGGTTAGAGCAGCTTATATATGTGCACAGCTGTAATATCTTTGATTTATTTCCCTGCTTAAATATTCTTATAACAATTATTGCTATACGCCTTATTCACGGCAGCGCCATCTTTGAATTTTAATGAGAATGAAAGCGAGGCTGTGAGGGATAGACTTGCATCTCTTCAATGGGCTGTACTGTTATTTAATGTGTTTTTGGATTGTTCTGCTCATGAAACACTGGAAAAATATCTTTCTAAGAAATGTCAGTTGACAAAAAACTCCCGACAATGTAAGCTGTGGAAAATTGTAAGTAATCTAGCCGCTTTATTCAGCTTTTTACAGCGGATGTCATTGGAAACACAGTAAGTCTATCCCTCACAGCCTCACTTTCATACCTGTCATGGCGCTGCTCTGAATAAGGTGTATAGGCAGTTTATAGCACATTTCGTGCATAGTATTTCATAGTAGGCAGGATGGATGGATGAAAGTTTATTCTAAAAAAAGATACTTTTACTTCTTGTTGGCAGTTTAAATAATTGTAATGGTCATGTTGTTATTTAAAATGTGTATTACATCGACAAAATTATTTTGAGTAATTTCTAAATGTAAATGTACTTTATGTTAAAAAAAATATTATAAAGAAATATCTACCGTATAAACTTTAATCAGTTTTGCTGGATCTCAAAAATGTCTAGTGTTCATGTCCACTAGAGGGCAGAATCTCATTAACAGTAAATCATTTCAATCATCCTCACCTGGGGTCCGTTCTTCGTACGTGGATTACTCAATTATCTGGATTTTACTGTTGACGATTTGACATGATACAGGATTGTTATGTACTTCGAAGCTCATCACGGAGTTGCTGCAACATATCTGTAAGCTAAAACCTGGTTTGGAGCAGGCTTTTTTTCTTGTAAACAGCATTAGAGTGTATTTTATAGAGTCTTTGATCACACTAGACCTCTTGTTATGGAAGTGCCACCCTTTCTTAAAGGGATAGTTCACCCAAAAATTAGAAACAAGTCAGGTTTTATTTCATGTAAACAGGATTAAATTGCATCTTTTTAAGCGGAGACAATACTTAAAGTCTATCCTAGCCACTACTACTACTGCAACAATTATTTAAAATAACAAAAATTTAAAAATTTAATTTATTTTGTAGTATTAGTTTGTAGTATCATACTGTAGTCTATCTTAATACACACACAGTTCGAGATTTATTCGTGAGGGAATAATTACATGATAATTGAATTGGAGTCTTACACACATAGTCTAAGCCCTGCATTTATTTGAACAACTCTTATGGGAGTGGCTTATGCAGCACAGGGGATAATTTAGTAAAAAAAAAAAAAAAAAAAATCTGTCTGCCGTGCCATTAGAAACATTTTTTTCGATACTTTAAAGGTTCTCTAAGCGATGTGGGGCCAAAACATTTTTTGTCACATACATCAAACGTCTCCTCACTATCGGCTAGCTGCCTGTCCCCTAAACACACTGTAAAAAAACGCGGTCTCTGTAGACACCACAGGCTCCACAAACGGCAACAAAAACAATCATGTCTCACCCGGACCACGAAACCTAACAAACAGTGTTCCAGCCAATCACTGGCAAGAAGTATATGAGGGTGGGTCTGGGGGGTTAGTGCGCGTGCACATGAAGGGGGT